TAGATTGTCCCTTAAAGAAAGAAAAAACAGAACTCCAAAGATCCCAGCACAATATAGGACAAGAATTGCGTGCATGTCATCCAGTTGTTTACCCTACTGAAGAGACCTTTCGAATTCACAACAACAAAAAAATACTGCTTTGCTTTGTTGTAGGAAGGAACCCCTAATGGCATTTCCATCTTTCTCACTCTCACATATCTATAGACCCCAGAGATGTGAAAGATGGTCACTGTGTATACCCACAAGAGAAGCTTAGGCCTGTCTAATGATCGAAATGGTGAGGCCAATCTGTGCCTTTCGAAATAAGTGATGTCTGATGGTGTGAGATGCTCAGTTTCTCATTGAAGATGCTCCACGGAGAAACACCAAAGCTTACGCTACGATTCTAATATATTGAGAAAAATCCTCTCTCCTAACTTGTAAAAATAGGAGAGGGACATGTTAATGCAAATCAGTTTCTTCGGTAATTTCTTTCTCTATTCCTTTTCTAACATGGTATCAGAGCTATAGCCTCAGTAATCTGAGAGGCTCTATCTCTCCTTATCTGGCTAGAAAGGGCAGCGCCACTGTGTTGCTGCGCTGTTGCTTCTCCCCTTCCAACCTCGCCAGAGGCCGACGGGACTCCTCCAACTCCTCGACCATGCAACAGCTTCCTCTGCTGCATAATCACAAGGAAGTTGCAACTGCGTTCCCAGCCGTATATCAAGTACTAGGTTCGCCTCCTTCTCTGATCTTACTTCTGTCTCGCCGCCAAGTGTATCTCAAATCGCAGCGGAAGCAGTGCAGATCTACCTGAGATCTGCCTTTTAAACCGCAACCTCTACAATCTCCGGGAGGTTGCGACATCTCCACGACCATTTCCCGACCCATAGTAGCTTCCTTTGCTGTGGTCACTTCCAGGCTCCATGCGCAAACTACAATAGCAATCTGCAGCAGCAGCATACTGTAGCAACAAGCTGCAGCAACCTCAATCTCCAACTTCTATGACATGAGCATCTGAGACGTTGCTACATCGGTTTGTAGGCAAAAAAAAAAAAAATTGGGATGTCTTCGTTCTCTTCTTCTGATATTCCAGTTCCTGTAGGGACTCTCACTTCTTCTACATTAATGCTGCCACGCTAATCCCTTTCAAGTTATCGAAGGATGGCAACTATGCATCCTGACGGGCTCAATTTTCTAATCTCTTATTTGGATACGACTTGTTATGCTACATTGATGGCTCTTTCAGTTGTCTGCCAATCATGCTCAACATCCCTGGAGAACCTAGTCCAGTACCCAATCCAACTCACAAACTGTGGTTGCGTCAAGATCGTCTCATCCTTCAAGCTATTCAAGCCTCAGTTGTTGGATCCGTCACTCATTTAATATCTTCATGTGTGACTGCTGCCGATGCATGGTCTAAACTGCAAACAACCTTGGCGAATCATTCGCGTACTCACAAGCTCAGTCTTTTATCCAAGCTGATGGTGACAAAATAAGAGGAAAGTACTATAACTGATTATCTACAAAATATCAAGGTTATCATCGATGATTTGGCTTTGATAGGTCATTCTCAATGTGACGAAGAGATCATCATCCATACCCTAAATGGTCTCGGTAACGACTACAAGGAATTGTCTGCTGCAATTCGGGCACACGACTCGCCAGTCTCCTTTGAAGAACTCTATGGCAAGCTAACTGACTATGAGACGTATTTGAAGCGTACAGACAAACTGCCTGGATCGACTATCACAGCTCAAGTCAGTCACAAGTCTAAACGGAAGAGCACTCGGTACCCTCCGAACATCACCAAAGGTTTGGCCAATGCACATCTTAATCCTATGAGTCCCATGCAACACCCCTCTTATCCTCCTAGTTATCACTTCTCGTAAAGTGGCAACTCTAATAACCATCCGTCTTGGCATCCTGCCTCGTCGAGCCATCAAAGACGGGTCGTTTGCCAATTGTGTGACAAAATAGAGAAAGAAATTACAAAAGAAGCTGATTTGCATTAACATGTCTCTCTTCTATTTATACAAGTTAGGAGAGAGGATTTCCCTCAACATATTAGAGGATTTTCCTCAACAGATTAGAGAGATTTCCTCAAACAGTTAGGGAAATCTCATCTACTATCATGCCCCCGTAAGATGGTGCTCCTATCAAGGAGACCAATCTTGGATCGATGCACTGCAAAAAGTTTACGAGCTAGAGGCTTCATGAGTGAGTCGGCTAATTGATCAACCGTATGGACATGAGAAACACGAAGTTGACGATAAACAACTTGATCGCGCATAAAGTGGAAGTCGATGGCAATATATTTCATGCGGGAGTGAAACACTGGATTAACGCACAGATAAGTTATGATAATGTCGGAGCTACCTATCTGTGCACTAATCCAATGTTTCACTCCTACATGAAACATATTGCCTTCAACTTCGATAATGTTGGAGCTACTTATTTGTGCGTTAATTCGGTGTTTCACTCCTGCATGAAACATATTGCCTTCGACTTCCACTTTGTGCGCGATCAAGTTGTCCGCCGTCAACTTTGGAGCTACCTATCTGTGCGCTAATTTGGTTTTTCACTCCAGCATGAAACATATTGCCATCGACTTCCACTTTATGCGTGATCAAGTTGTTCGTCGTCAACTTCGTGTTTCTCATGTCGCTGATCAATTAGCCGACTCACTCACGAAGCCTCTAGCTCGTAAACTTTTTGCATTGCATCGGTCCAAGATTGGTCTCCTTGATAGGAGCACCATCTTGCTGGGGCATGATAGTAGATGAGATTTCCCCAACTGTTTGAGGAAATCTCTCTAATTTGTTAAGGGAAATCCTCTAATTTATTGAGGAAAATCATCTCTCCTAACCTGTATAAATAGGAGAGGGACATGTTAATGTAAATAAGCTTCTTCTGTAATTTCTTTCTCTGTTTTGTCACACAGCTGGCAAATGACCCATCTTTGATGGATTGATAGGGCAGGATGCCAAGACTGATGGTTATTGGAGTTACCACTTTACGAGAAGTGATGACTAGGAGGATAAAAGGGGTGTTGCATGAGACTCATAGGATCAAGATGTTCGGAGGGTACCAAGTGCTCTTCCGTTTAGACTTGTGATTGACTTGAGCTGTGATAGTCGATCCAAGTAGTTTGTCCGCACGCTTCAAATACGTCTCATAGTCAGTCAACTTGTCATAGAGTTCTTCAAATAAGACTGGCAAGTCGCATGCCTGAATTACAGCAGCCAATTCCTTGTAGTCGTTGCCGAGACCATTTAGGGTATGGATGATTATCTCTTCGTCACATAGGGAATGACCTATTAAAGCCGTCATTGATGATAACCTTGATATTTTGTAGATAATTAGTTATAGTACTTTCCTCTTGTTTTGTCACCATCAACTTGGATAAAAGACTGAGCTTGTGAGTACGCGAATGATTTGCCAAGGTTGTTTATAGTTTAGACCATACATCGACAGCAGTCACACATGAAGATTTTAAAGGAGCGACGGATCCAACAACTGAGGCTTGAATAGCTTCGAGGATGGGACGATCTTGACGCAACTACTGTAGTTTGCTGTTGCAGATTGCCCACTGCTGCTGCAGATTGCTACTGTAGTTTGCGTCTGGAGCCCGGAAGCGACCACAGTAGAGGAAGCTACTGTGGACCGAGAAATGGCCACGGAGATGTCGTAGCTTCCCGGAGATTGTAGAGGTTGCAGTTTGAGAGGCAGATCTCAAGTAGATCTGTGCTGCTTCCGCTGCAATTTGAGATGCACTTAGCGATGAGATAGAAGTGAGATCAGAGAAGGAGGCAAAACTTGTACTTGATATACGGTTGAGAACGTAGTTGCAGCTTCCTTGTGATTATGCAGCAGAGAAAGCTATTGCGTGGTGGAGGAGTTGGAGGAGTCCCATCGACCTCTGGCGAGGCTGGAAGGGGAGAAGCAGCAATACAACAACACAGCGGTGCTGCCATTTCTAGCTAGATGAGGAGAGATAGAGCCCTCAGATTACTAGGGCTATAGCTCTGATACCATATTAGAAAAGGAATAGAGAAAGAAATTACAGAAGAAGCTGATTTGTATTAACATATCCCTCTCCTATTTATATAGGTTAGGAGAGAGGATTTCCTTCGAGTAGAGAGATTTTCTCAAACAATTAGGGAAATCTCATCTAGTATCATTCACAACAGTAACAAAAAGGCAGGATATTAAATCTAATTGAAGCAACATAGATAACAACCATTAGGTTGATCAAATACTCTACTAGAATGTTCAGACGAGTGAATTGACTATAGAAGAAAACTAGATGATCAGTTAAAAACTATACTAATGAGGCAGACTAACATTATATCATCTCAAAACAAACACAGCAAAAATCAAGAGAACATTCCAAGTAAATGATAGGTTGTGAAAAATACAACCTCAAAAACTGGGATCAAGTGAAGAGCTAAATTTTATCTCAGCAATAAATGATGCCGATTTCATTTGCAACGTCGAGGGCGTCGTAGTCATGCATTAATCTAATATAAGCCTTCTTAGTTCCATCAGTCAGGGCCTGATACAGATAGGTCCAAAGTCATTGAGAGTTGGATCAGATGATAAGAGTATGTAGCTGTGAAAAGTAAATCATGCTGACCTGATCAGAGTATTAACTTTCTTTGCGTACATCTTCTACACAGCTGCTTTTATCATCTTCTTGTCATCTTGAATATCAACAATGAAGACCAGAGTGTTGTTGTCTTGAATCTCCCTCATCGTGATTCAATGGTCAAGGGATGCTTGAGGATTAAACAGTTTTGCTTTGATGATACATATTTTTTTCATTTTACTCTTTTTATTCAAGGATTGTATAATATGCACAAAAAGAGGATATTGTGCTTTAACCATTAGAAACATGTTGAAATTTTATCAACACATCTTCAATATGTAAAAATTTTATACTTAAGAAAACATCATGAATTATAATAATATGCATACATAATTATCTATTACATGCAAAATTTATTATGAAAGTTTACTTTTTTTTTTTGAGATGTTGCCGGGAGGTAAAAAATGATGAGATTGCTTAATAGATAAAATGTCCCTAGTATTATATTATTGTTTCTAAGTTGATCAGAACACAAGTTTTGAAGATACATTTTGAAGAAAAGATACTGTGGTTCTATATTAAGGATTTCTAAAGACTTACTTATGCACAACATAAGTTCTTCAGTATTGAAGTTAAATCACATGGACACCTGACATATAAAATGTTAATAAGAAACTACACAGACATAATGTGAAAGGGATGCACAAAACTTGTTCTTCTTTGACCCATTTGCTTTCAAGTTGTAGAATGCTGCTATTAATGGATCTGATTTGTAGCATAGTTTTTGGTATGGGTGTGGCTAATGCAACTGACACCCAACTAAATTTGATTTTGAATGACGTAAAATGAAGCTACCTATTCATAATGGAGACAACCAGTTATCACCTATTGATGGATATGAATCATATAAATAGAACCCACCAAACATGGCTATGCCAAGACTTCATCATTCACATCAGGAGGTAATGTGAAAGTTACAGTGGCTCCTCTAACTCCATCCCTTTTTATTCACCTACTAAGTTTGTTTTTTTCTGTTATATAGTGTGAATGAGTTCAATTTGTTATACTTTATTGTTGGTATCATATTTTAAATTATGTAGATTTTTATCATATGAAGGTCTCATGCTGTATAATCATCATCTCGAATACAATCTTTACCAACAATTATATGGTTAATAGATAAGATGCTAAAAACAATCTAAGTCTAAAAGTATAACCAAGACAAACACTACAACGAGAGCAAAGGCATGAGAAGAAGCGTATAGAGATCGAAGAGTAAGATTGTGATGAATCCGATCCAATAGAATCAATGATGGTGATTTAGTGGATCGAGATCCCTCGCGATCATCATCATTATCATCAACCGATCGATTGGCTTGTGAATCTCAAAGCATCTCCATGCGGGTGGCGTAGCCGTACCTGGACCGCCGGATGTTGTCCTGCCGCTTCTTGTACAGCACAGCACCGCCCGCGAGCACCGCCACCCCCAGTACCACCCCCACTGCGATCCCCGCCTTCTTCTCCCCGCTCATCCCTCCCCCTTCTCCGTCACGGCCCGCTTGGTCGGCGACCTCCCCGGACTGGATCTCCTCGTGGCTCGGCACCGGTGCTGGCGACGGCGTCGCGGATGGGGTCGGGGCGGGCGAAGGCACCTCCGGCGGCAGCGCCGGCACCAGTGGAGAGTGAAGGTTCTCGGGCGACGGCGATGGCGATGGCGAGGGAGGGGAGTCCGGCGAGGGTGCGGGAGACGATCGGAGCGGACCTCCTGGAACCGGCGAGGGCGAGGGCGAGCTTGACGGTGGAATCAAAGAGAAAGCGAGATCCGCAGTCGAAAGGAGGACGACGACAGAAACTAGCGAGAGCGCAAGTGATGACGGCGGCAAGGAGGAGGCCACCGCCATGGGAAAGCGATGAGAGATCTGACAGCAGAGAGGAAGGCGGGGAACCTGACCCCGGTGCACAACTTATTGCAGGGAGAGACGTCCGAGTACGGTCATCGACTGCACTGGCTAACAACTTCGAGATTTATGATTGCGATAACGATGACGGATCCTCTCCAACTAGTCATCTAATTTTTCATGGTCCAATATCTACATCAAACGGTCCGATGTGATCGACACGTCATATCAAGCGTCCCAGTTTCTTGCCGTAAAAGTTGGAGGGAATCCTACCGAACGGGAGATGCGCTATCCTCACGCAATTAATTCGGCGAGACTCGTCCAATTAATTAGGCGTCGCGTGGACTTCGCGGACTTGGGATCTCGTGTCTGGTGTTCAAACGGGTGAGGCGGATTCGGATTCGGATTCGTCCAGTTAACACGCGCCCCCACCGTGATGCACGGAGGGGCGCCACGCTATGATATCAAGGAATGGATATGACTATATTATGATCAACTGGGCGAATAAATGTATAATCGTTATTTTATATCGATATGCATGACGATACAACACTTGATTTCCTACCAAGATATGGAACAGAATGAAGAAGCCAATCAATTCTTAAACATTAAGAAAATTAAAGAAAAAATATTAGTCAATTCATGCCCAATAAACACGAACTCTACCAAGCAGAAAAAAAAGCACAATTATGAACAACAATATTTTATCTAAAACTACAAGGAAAAATAGGAAACTTCTGAGTATTAATCATTCTACAAAACTATAAACGAGTATAGCATTGCATCGACTGAGTAAAGCATAGAAGTCCAAAGCGGGCATCCGAGTTCTTAGATACCTTACAAACTCCTTGAATGAATGCTCTTCTCAATGTGGAGTTTGGTTCTCCTTCTCGTCGATGCAAGCTGTTAATCAAAAGCAAAGTTTCAGTGAATTCAGATAAATTTCAGAGGCAAAATACTTATTCAGAGTTGTGAAACAATTACAGTAAGAGATGAAGATGTATACTTGTAGCTGAACTCTAAAGAAGGAAGAGAATGAGGCATAACAAGTCGAAGGTCCCAAAAGGCAATCTGAGTAACTAGGAATAAACATGCACCAGAGAAACGATATCAGAACAAATCTCAAAATAGTATGGTGCCATAGATGGGGATTAAGGTCACATTCCAAGAATGGATGTATAAGACCCAAGATGGAGAAGGTCAATACTTAGTCATCAACTTAGATGACCTAAAGTCAATAGAAAGTTCATAAGTTCATGAATGCAAGGGTTACATAGAAATTGAAGATACAACTGGATTTTTCTTACTGATCAATCAAAGCTGCACATCCTTACATCATCAGGTCATTGATTATAAGGCCTATGACAAAGGTACAAAAAAAAATTACAAAATACAAAAAAATTCAACTGCATATTTTTGAATGGTCTATGAAGAATTGCAAATCAGACTCGGATTCTTGCATCCATCCTTGTGAATATGTCCAGTACGTTTAATATATTTGACTTTAGATTTCAAGAATGTCCAGCACGCTTATCAAATTCTTTGACTTTAGATTTCAAGAATCAAGTGAGAGAAGCGAAAACTGTTTTGTTTAAGACTTTGCAAAAACCATCTTTACATAGTTTAACTATAAACATTTTCACCTATGCATCCATTCTTTGCATCCTAGCTAAATCACAATCTGATACATGTCTGAATATCCACACAATGACACAGGATCCATTACATCACCACGGACTTGTTGGAGTGGTAGGAAATGTCTTGACTTAAGTCTAATAGCAAGATATCTATAGCTCCTCTGCAGCAGGAGCAAGTACAAAGCTTTTGAGAATACTACCTTACTCTTGATACTCCAATTGAAAACTATGGGTGCAGCAAACAACATGGTGGAAAAAGGCTTCAACTACTAAAGGAACATTTTTGTTTAGTGTAGACACTATTTTCTGCTTGGCATTCCATCTGAACTAATTGTATGGACCAGTAAAGCTAAATTAGTCATATGAAACAGCTAATGGCTAGTATTTTGCGGAATACTAAGATTAAAAGCCATCATCTTTTGCATATACCAGCATGCCTTTTGTCTACCTATATGTCACAAAACAAACACATGGCATCTTTTGCTCAACCTATTAACTGCAACCATATTGATGGTGTAAAATATTCTGAAATCCACACCATTGAAGTCTAAACAGTTGTATACATTATTTAATAACTTTAACCCCAGGAGTGCAGGGAGCTTGCAACATCGAAACCAGGTCAAAACACACTGCAGAAAGGCATCAGTACTTGAGCCAGATGTGCCACACATATGGCTAGACCAGATTTTGGTCTGTGCTGGCTGAATGTGCTGCCAAATCAGACCTTATCATGCCAAAACAGTATCCACATATGCCCTTATGCCATGAAAGGGCATAGACAGCAATCTTCACTTTAGAACATCATTGGCATGCATAAAAAAGATTGAGTTCTTCTATGGAAGAACTCCATTTTGAAGATAGCATTTGGGGAATATTCAATTGAAGAGATTTTATTAAATTACCGAAAGATAAACAAGCACATTTGTCTGAAAGGATCCACTTCTAGCACATCAAGAAAGAGGATGACCAAAGACAAGCTTGCATCTAGATCAAGAACGACATCCTCAACTTGAGCATAAACTTGGTGAAGTTGTTTCTTGGAATATGTTCATAACATTTTCTTTTATCTGTCTCTGATGATAAATTCAGAAAAAGAGAGAGTTACTGCTTCAAAACAAAGAGGTAACTCCTTGCTCCGAGGGTAAACAGATTACACGGGGAATGATGGTCTTATCGTTAGCCACCTCAGAACATTTCAATCTGAGCATTGAGAATGAACTGTGATCAAGATTGAAGCTACCTAAAGGTAGAATTTACAGGAGGGAGCAATTCAAAGCTAATAACCTAAAGCAAGAAGTGCCTGTTTTTCAGGGAAAAGAATCCTAGAAGTAGAAGAGGTTCCAACCCTTCTAGTTGCTTATGGGATTGCTCCATGTGCCGAAAAGACAACATCAGACCACCAACAGAAGCTAGACAATAATAAGAACAATTCTCTACTTAGCTTGTCCAAGAAAAGATGAAGCAAAATCATTATTTGCTCCTCACAGATCAAAGAAATCAAGCCCTTATAGTTCTCTGAATTAATCTCCTGAACAATGGCGTTATAGTTTAGGGAACATAAAATCATCGAATCATCTGAAACTCTTATGACCGTATAATCCATTTAGGTCAATACGCCAAAAGCAAATTCCGGCATAATTCCCACGATCATTCTAATCCTTATGGCATATAGCTCACGACGGATATATTCTCGACGGTACCAGATGGGTATAGAAATATAAGATTGCACTACAATGTTGCAGTTATACCCAAAGAGCATGCGAGAAGAGCAAAGAAGTTGTCTTTGGACTGTTAATTAGGAATTCTACGACCAAGAAGAGCAAAGACACAGGTTTTTGGTACCTCCACAGCAGAAGCAGCAGCAACAGCAGGACAGAACGAATAGGATGTCGCTGCAGAAGCGCAGAGGCGAAAGGGTCTCGTGCTGCAGCCGGTCTTTGGAGGAGCTGCTCCCGGCGTCGCCATCGGAGGAGCTGTTCGCAAGGAGGGGATCACTGGATCGCTCCCCTCGCAGCCGCTGCTTGTGCTGCTGCATGCGGTGGAGGTTGCGCTCGATCTTGTCGAGGTAGGCTTGCTTGAACGAGTCCCGGATCCGTAAAGATGGCCATAGATGCATACCTCAAACGCTCTCTCTCTCTCTCTCTCTCTCTTCTTCCTCTGCGACAGTGTCTTCCGTCTTCTTCCTTCCTCCTTTCGCATTTTAATTAATTAATGCTGGACAAAGTCACTTATACACGCTTTCTTATGAATCTAAATAAAAATTCTTTCATATATGATTTTTTTTTTTTTATATATATAATAAGTGACGAAGATACAATTTAATCTATTAAGGATAAGATCTTCACGATTACGTCATTATTTAATCAATTTTTCATTGACCTTATTAAATTTTTTAAATTATTAATTAAAAATTACTTAAAAAAAGGTGCTACTTCACCCAATTCTCTATTTGTGTGTCATATGCCCATCTCGTCAAATCTTCACGTTCTACCTAACACCAAACCGGCCTCATGCTATGCCCAAAGTGAATACCAACCACCACCACCACCGCACGGCTATCTATCTACTCCTCAAACCCACCACTCTCCCTCTCTCTCAATTTTCAAATAAAAAAATATTATTAATTTCTGCACCGACACCAATGATCTGATACAAGATATATTGCAGCGCCGGCATCCTCCTTTCGTTTGACAGCGTGCCACAGTCGACGCTACGCGATCGAGAACAGTCAACTTTGTTCTTCTCTCCATCCTCTTATGCTGACATATGCCATCCATCACAAGTTCCAACGCGGACATCATTGATATCAGCGAGCCGAAAGTTAACCGCCGTACACGTGAACTCCAAAAACCACCGTATAACATAAGATAATTTCTTATTCTCATATTATTGTATTTTTATATTTTTAAAAATTATATATATATATATATATACACATGTATATATATATAAGCCGCCCATCTTTGTCACGTTTATGTGTTCGCGATTAGCGATCACCAGACTCGTTCGTTACTTTTGACGTAAGAGAACAAACCGCCGTTATGATTGACAAACTCAATCTATAAATTCAAAAATAAAAGGAAAAATACATCCACCATTCAGATCTTACAACGACATTCGTACCTCGTCGACTCTGCTTTGGCTCGACCGAGGTTTATGTGGGACCCGCTTATCGCTTCGATCACGATGCGAGTAGACGGACGGAAGGGTAGTAAAAGAATTCTACTATTTTCCCTCGTCGGGCGCATCTGCCTCCGGTCTCACCCACCCGTCCACGTGACTCGGGGCCCCGCCTGCCTCGCTGCGACAGGTGTCGTTCTTACCCGCGAGGGCCACGCGGCGCGTCGAGCTGCGCTGCGCTGCTGTCATAAATGCCGCGGGGCCCGCCTCGGTCCTTCCCCGCTTCGCGACAAATGCCGGCGGGCCCCGAAACTTCCTCTCGCGTAACGATAAGGACCTCCGAGTCGAATTACCGGAACTGCCCTTCCCTCTTTGCTCCGCTTGTCATTTTCCGAATGCCACCTCATCCTCCGCTGCGCCGTCCGATCCGGTTATCCCTCATATCCGACGGCTCATATCGCGTCGGGTTTCCTAAGCCCACAGGTTACTATTTCAGCATTTCTCACATTTTTATGATATTATAATTATATTTATATTTGGGCGATTTTTTAAAAATACATTCATATTTTGAGTATTTTCAAAAGGTACATCTCTTTTAATTTTTAAACAAAATATCTAATTTAAAATATATTTAAAATATCTCTTAAGATTTTTTCTATTAAAAATTTTTGCCCGGATTTTTTTTTTATCAATTTCTAACTATTATAGGATTTACATTTGACTCATTTATAGTACTTTTCAATAATATTCATATTACTTTATTAAGATATTAAAATATTTTAAATATTAAAAAATAATAAGTGATATTATATCGTACCTCTCTGTTGTCATTACTTATAAATTATCATAATATTATATTTTTATATTTATAATTAGTTTGGTTGAAGTTACGAGTCTATTTCGATCGGTTTTCAAATAGGTTTTTACATTATAATAGGCTAAAAATATTATAACAGATGAAAAAAAAATTTGAAGGATAATTTAGAATTTTCTAATTAAGGATACTATATGAGAAAAAAATAAAAAATGGGAGATATAGATTGAAAAATACACAATATATAGATATTTTATAGGAAAATCATCTATTATATTTCTAGTTGTATTATACTATTGTAAAATTTCTAATTTAGATATCTATGGCACTGCATCGAAGTTGGAATATTAATAAAAATTATATAAGATAGTTAATCTTAATCAATTATCATCTAATTCGCCATTGATTCTATTTTTTATGTGAATTGAAAAAGATCTACTACTTTCTTATTAAGTTCATCCTCAGTATATCCTGTCATTTATATGATCATGACATTGATTTCATAAAGCTATTTAATATTATCATAATAGAATGAAATATTGTTTGCTATAGAATGAATTCATGAATTTCGATGATCATAAGATAAAAAATATAAATTTACTATTACATGGATAGACGAAAAATATTGTGATTAAAGAAAAAAATTGATTATGAAAAATAACGAGAGATAAGAAATTTTAAGAGAGATTTATATAGAACAATAGCGAGAGAAAAAGAGAAGACGAAAAAAAAGAATATTAAGGAAGAAAACCGAAAGGATATATGACAAGTAATGATAGAAAAAGATGGTTGGAGGATCGATAATATATACTTTAACAAAACATATTTCGAAATAATCTTAGTCATTTTGTAATATGACATAATTTGCATTGGCTTTATGTAAAAGACTCCTCTGAGAAAATACTAATTTTCAAGTAGTCTTCTAATACTCATTTCGATTGGGTAAACGAATCCCATTTTGCTATTAGTAATTATTTAGATAGAAAATAAACGAGTATTGAAATATTCCTTTATAGCGCCGAAGCATCCAATGATTCACACGTACGACTCTTGTGGCAATCCCGTGGATAAAAACCGTGGGGAGGGGTAGAATAGGGAAATCGCAGAGAGGCTTATCCATTACCCCTCCCCTCCTTTCCTATAAACCCCTCCCCACCAACCCACCGCTCCGACACGGAGCGAAGCCGCGTCCTTGTAGTTTCTGATCCGCTTTCCCGGTCAGAGTTCGTGAAGTCGCGAGCGAGTCGGTCTTCTCTTTTACTTGGGGAGCACAGGGAAGGAGAAGAATGGCAGGGAGAAGCCACCGCCACGCCACCAAGCACGCGGCGCACCGCCTCTTTTCCGAGTCGGCGTCCACCGGTTTCCATGACTCGGACGAGTTCACCGAGTCGGACGTCTGGGGATGCCCCGTCGAGCCGGCCCCCCGCCAGGCCGAGCCCGGCGGCCGGGCGATCCCCTCCTTCCGCCCGTCCGCCCGTGGCAGGAAGGCCGACGGCCAGAGGGGAGACCGCGTCCCCCCCGCCTCCCTGCCGGTGAACATACCCGATTGGTCCAAGATCCTCGGCAACTGCGCCAACAGCCACGGCAAGAACAGCAGCGGTTTCTGGGGGGAGGAGGAGGAGGAGGAGGAGGTAATCGACGGCGACGAGCTGGACGGCCGGCGGATGGTCCCGCCGCACGAGCTGCTGTGGCGGAGCCGGGCGGCGTCGATGTCGGTCCACGAGGGGATCGGGCGGACCCTCAAGGGCCGGGACCTGAGCCGGGTTCGCAACGCCGTGTGGCAGATCACCGGCTTCGAAGACTGACCGCCCCTTCACCACCGCTGATCCCTTCTCGCTACACTCCACCTTTTTGGTCAAGCAAAGAGAGAAACCGAGAGGAATTTTTTTGTTTCTTGTAGTCCATATGGATTCACCTCCGTATGTTCTTTCGTCTTGAAAATTAGCTTCTTTTTTTGTGATCTGATGATGACTTGGTTTGGTGCTTCTTCTTCTTCTGTTGGATCGATGTAATACCTGACCTTTGGTCTGTGTCATTGGATCTCCATGACAACTTTGATCTTCCACACTTCATACGCGCTGGTTCTCCTCCCTTCCTTTGCATGAGTGGCCACAAAAGTTGAGACGGTACAAGGAATTGCAGGTCGGATATCCTTTAAGATGGAGACATGGATGACAGAAGAGAGAGAGAGAGAGAGAGAGAGAGAAAAGTGATTCCAGGTCAGTTCTTATCTGTTACTTTGCATGGATGTCTACGGAAGCTGAGTTAGGTACAGAGAACTGCAGGTTGGGCCTGCTACTGTACGAGCAAGAGGAAGAAAACTGTGGACGTGGGTTCCGGACTGCTGGTTTTATGGGAGCTTTCTTTGGGATAAGAGAGAGAGCGAGAGAGAGAGTAATCAAACGAACAGCAACACAAGAAATGTGTGTGTGATTCAAGAAAGAAAAGAAAAAGAAAAAGGAAAGTGTGTGTGGTGGTGGGGGAAGGTGAGAGACTCAGGAAATTGGCTCCTCTCCAGCAATCTTCCTTCAAGTTCTACATCCTCTTCTTCTTCGCCTTCTTCTCATACATCTGTTGTTGATGACAAACCATACTGGATGCAGCAACTGAGATGAATCATTATAAGCTGCTTTGGTTTTATCTCACCTCCACTTGTCTTGAAACTAAAATTCAAATCATGGGAACAAGATAAACTAAAAATATAGCACACCCGTGCGTTGCATTCCTCCATACAACTTTGGTGTCGTTTGTCCATAGGGAAGCAGACATGAGAAGGGCATATTTTGATACCAGTGACGTTTACATTACCGACTCCATTACTCTCCTGCCTTGGAAACAACCTCGGAGCACACTGCTTTGGACGCAGCCTCCCTCATGCTTCTGCTGCTGCTGCTGCACCTTTTGACGTCCATTTCCTGGACAGCTCTGTGTGTGGGCAAAACCATGCACGGCTCACCGTCTTCTGATTGTGGTGGCATCATTTGGTGGTGGGACAGCAAGCCACGGAGGAGAGACCCTGAAACAGATGGACGTTGATGGATCGATGATATGAAAGCCTTAAGAAATTGCATCTCCTCTTTTGTAGTGACTTACTGCTGATGCAGATATCATCTTCTTCTCTGGCATCTTCACCCACAGAAATGCATCCGATGGAGGAGGAGGGGTTTCCGGTGACGTATACATGCCACCCACTTAGAATAGTTTATGTTGGTAGTGGTGAATTATCCAATGTACGTGCTTTGGGAGAGCTTCTTCCCTCTGCAGCTG